GAGGAGTCCTGGCAATTTATTGCGAAGGCTCGCATGAAGCTTTTAACAGGGGCCATGAATATCCTGTCTTTGTCCTTGGTCTTCATGAGGCCACATGTATACAGTGTTATTGATAGTACTGTCAACGAGAACCGTGATGGTTTGTCTCCTCCATGATGGATGATGTGGCTCCGTGCTGCTCTGAGTGTAGAACACAGCAGCAGCTTCCCACCTTGTGTGAGGATATGACACAGATCAGCTGATCGTGATGAGAGGCGTCCGGCGTTACAGACAGTTATTTTAAGCTTGGCTCAGGACTGCCCCGGCAGTAGAGGAGCTAATCGATAACAGCACTTGAGGTACAATAAGGTTCTCATGAGCAGCGCTGGCTCCTAGAAATGATGCCTGTGTCCAACTAAACTGCAAGAGCAAACATGTTCTGTAGGAAACCAAATGTCAACTAATGAGGAACTGTTGCTTTACGTACCTGACCAGTCGCAGATGTCTTGCAGTGATCGTACAAGTAAAATGTTCCCAGATCTCACAGTCCAGCCTCCGCCTGTAGGGACTCCAGCTCTGTGGAGCAGTTTCTGGTTCGGCTCAGACTCTCACGGCTCTGGCTGAACTCAGAACCAGTTCACAATGAGTCAAGAGTCACGAGTCTTTATGATCACGTGCACAGCAACAGAGCAGGACAGTGAAACCTGGCTGGTTCGAGCCCAGTCTAAAAACAAAACCCGAGTGTATGAAACGTATACGGCAGACAGTTGATAACAACACGTGGTGTGTGGGAGTGTGAGCAAGTGTGTGGGTTTGTGTGGCTGTCAGGGGGAGGAGTGTGAACTGGGGGAGGGTTGTGGTGTTTGTGTATGTTGCATGTGTGTTGATGGAGTGACTGAGGTCACCAGTCTGACGGCCCATCCCTGAGCCTGCTGGACCGGTCTGCAGTCCATCTCCATCACGGCTGTGGGGGCGTTTCATTTCACCATCAGTCAAGTCTGATTCGTTTACTCTGAGTCAGTGACTGAAGTGATATGTCAGAAGTATGTAGTGATGAACGCACATTTTATTTTGCCATATGTTACGTTCATGCACACAGCATGCCTCCAGGTGCCTGTGTTGTCTGGTGGCCATGGATGCAGCTGTTCAACTTGTTGTGTCTGCTGACTGGACCTCAGTGTGACCTCAGGCCTTCTGCTATGTTGGCATTGGCTCCTTCTTCCTCTCAGAATTTCCACTGGAATAATTCCTTCTCATGTCTGACTCTGCTACTCAGACTCTTGTTATCGAGTCACAGCTTGAACACCAGTGTGTACATTTGGTGCACAGTCGCAGTGGGCGTCTGGGAACGAAGTCGTCCTGGAATGTGGGTGGGTGATAAACGGGGTGATCTGAGTGCACTGTAGTTTATCACAGAGCCCACTACACATGGCTCTGAATAAGAAAGTTAAGGGGATGTGTATGGTTTACAACATCACTGTGCCTTTCTGGCCTTTGGAGCCCCTTTTATTCGGGGGCTCCCAGTCAGTGGCTCTGTTGCCTAATTGTGAAGTCCACCCCTGCTGTGGTCTGTGATGTGCACTTTGTAAGCCTGCCATCCACCCGCATCACCTCCTGGACAGTAGCTTCATTCAGAAAACACACTCCAGCCATGAACGCTCTCTTCCAGATGTATGTGCTGGTGCAGCTCAGCTGTATAGAGACAGGGTTGCACCAGAAACATGGATGTGGTCGTTGTTGACAGTGGGTGAAACATGACAGAAGCTTGTTCAGCCACGCCGCAGTGTGGCTCTGCTGACCTCAGTCCATCACTGATCACAGATCTCAAGCAACCAGACTGTCACGACACTGGGCTCAGAGCTTCACGTTCCCCAGAGAATGAATCCCTCTCAGCAACTCTCAGGAGGATTATGATGAAATGTGTTCCTGTTCTGGATCTTGTTTCCATTCATCCCTCGTGTCCAGCACCTTGGGACCGGCTGTAGGAGGTTGACTTTCACAAAAGAAAGTAAAATTAGATTCAAACAGGCTACCAACAGGCAGAGACTTAAATCATCAGCACTCTGTGTGATCCTCCGGTGTGTATATGGGGCTGGGGCAGAATGCGGCAGGAACAGGAAGTGGAGAGCCTTGTTCTGAGACAATGAGCTTGTTCACCAGCTGCTCTAACAGACTCTGGACTGTTGCTGCTGCCTCCTACGAGACTTCGGCCTCCTGAAGTCTTTAGCTGATATAATAACACTGGTCAGTGTATGTATTCCTCAGGCACCAGATGGACACTGTGATGCATCGCTGCTCCTCCCTTTATTGGCAGCCTCTCAGATTAGGAGCATACATCACGACCCTGCACTGACAGGCCAGTAGAAATATTTCCTGAAGCACATGCACCAGAATATGTATTTGGTTTCTATGCTGCCATCACCCAGACAACATTTCTAGTCCAGAAGATGAAACATGTGTTTCTCAGCTCAGTGTGTAGCATGAGTAAAGAGGACAAAGACGTAGCTGTCAACGCTCTGAGTTAGTACTCAGACAATGCAGTTTACACAGCAGTAAATCGGATTCCATGCAAACACAAATAAGATAAGGTGACCCTTTGTTAGTCCCACAACAGGGAAATTCACAAAACTACAGCAGCATAGGGACAGAAACAAGACGCTCGGTGTTAAGTAACAGACAAAGTGTCATCGCTATAAACAATAGAAATAGAATAAAAAGTAAACCAACCCTCACACTGGTTTGCTGAGTATGTAAATGTACAGCAATGTACTGATGCCACTATGAGAAGAAAAGCTTCCTCTGAATCTCTGAACGAGATGCTTTTCTACTTTCAATGTGATACTTTTTCAATATAACAAGAAAACTTTTTTATTTATTCTTCATAGTGGCAACAAGTACAAGTGTAATGTAGAGTGACTCGGTTTGCAGAGAGAGGGAAGAAAGGGAGGAAGGAGCTTTAATGAACTGGGCAAAGAGAGAGAGGGACAGAAGATTGAAGAACAGAGACGAGACAAAGAAACAAAGAGGGAGGCAAAGCACTCCCATGGAGAAAGGGCAGGAAGAAATGAAGACAGTGACCCTACAGGCTGCTGTGTTTGTTTCACATTACTGAGCTTAGTGACTATGATAAAATCGCCGGCTCCCTGTGAAGACTGTATTAACCTCTGAACACTGGAATCGAGTTCCCAGCTGGCGGTCCGTGGCAGGCTGCCGGGACGCACGGCGAGGGGGGGCCAGCGTGTCTTCTGGAAACGAGTGTGGAATTTCTGAAGCTTTTGTCACTTTGAGTTTTGTATGAAAACGTGCCACACTGTGAACTGCTGTTGTCTGGTCACATGGCCTTGTCAGTCACGTGGACGTGCGTTCTCAGCTTTGAGATACGCACAGCAGCCGTGTGAAGCAGCCAGGAGCACAGGCGGTGATGGAAGCAGCAGCCAGAGGCTCAGAGAGAGATGGACACAGGAAGTGAAACAGAGCAAAAAGGGTCAGTAGCTCCATCCAGCAGCACCAGTGGTGTCATTTTGTATCATGATTAACGCCACGTACGTCCCCCTTGTGTATCTGCTTTTTTCAGCCTGTGAATGAAGACAGTGCAGTTTATCCCAACTGTTCAGCTTGAAGCGTCCCTGCTGGTGGATGTGTTTGGGTCCAGAGTCATACTGACAACTCGAGCTAGGAACAGCTTGTCATTAAAAGAAGCTGAGAACAAGAGCAGCATAGCCGTCATTTCTCCTCAGCCAGACCCATGTTCCAGTGTCGGCGCTGATGTAGTGAGGCCTGCCCGGGCCTGAGGTGCCCTTTGTAGCTGGCATATGTGATCTCATGTGTGACTTTAGGAGGACTGAACCCCTCTGACTTTGGCAATGCTCTTGTCTCATCACAGAAACAGCAGCTTTTTGTAGGGCCTTTCATGGGCCAAGTGTCACTGGTGGAAGTGGGTGTTGCAGAGGGCTGGTGAACAGGCCTTCCTCTTGTTGTGCCCTCTGCAGTGACAAATCACAGCCTTGTTAGCAGTGTGACTCTGTCGGTCGGTCTGCCACCTTGGCCCAGGCTAACATATCTCGACAGCTGTGGCCGTCAACTCTTGGATGTGAAATGAGGAGTTAAACTAGCCTGCATTACATTCCAGCTTCTGTGTATAAAGCCATAGAATTTTGAACAGAGGAAATATGTATTTAATGGAATGATACAGTAGAGCACCGAGCTAACAGAGGTCAGCGGGGTGGCTGCTCGCCATCGGCCATGTGTAGGCAGACTGCTGCTGCTTCACTGCTCGGTGTGCAACTGAAACATGAGGATTTATCAAAGTGAAATCGATTTTACACACCAGATTCTTGTGGAGCAGAGAAGACAGCTTCTTAGTGTCTGTTACAACTGGACTCAGGTTCACATTTTATTTTGATGGCTGTGTTTACAGCGTGTAGAGCAGCTCTTCGGGACGTCTTGGACAGATTTCTGAGCCTTACACAGTGAAAGCCTTTACATGCACCACAGTGTTAGACATGCTTACATCTGATAAACCTCCACAGTGATGGAGGCTCACTCACCTCCGCCTATTCAGCGTGCACGTCATGTCACAAACGACAGACTCGTCATCATTCAACGAGATCAAAAGGTTTGGGTGGCAAACGAGCAGTGCTGAAAAGTTCTGTGCAGCTTTACTGAAGCTAGCAGCACCTCAGCCTTTATAAAGCTCCTGTATGAAGAAACATAGGTGGTTTCATGAAATGTCAGGCATCGCGGAGAGAGGAGCAGAGCTCTGTTTCATCCGGTGCTCCATTAACGTCTGCTGCAGTTTCCTTCTTTTAGATTCTTCATTTGCTGTAACTTTTACTGCAGCTTTCTGCCTTTTGGACAAACTCGAGGAAGAACCTTTCAAGGCCGTCTCCTCAAGGTTCACATCATTGGCAGTAAAATCAATAAGTTGCCCTTTTGCTCCTCAGAGTTGTGTTTTAACAGGAGGACTCAGAGTGCAATGTGGTCTGCAGGCGTTCATGTTGGCCTTCGCTGTGTCTCCTCAGGTGGAATCTGTATCGCTCAGTCACTGAAGATCCCTCACGACCACAAACCGTCCGACTTTGACAAACTCATCCGTCTGCTGCTGGATACTCGCTACGCCAGGACAGTCATCCTGTTTGCTTCTGATGAGGACATCAGGTAAATCCATGAACATGCTTCACCTCAACACCATGTTTAGATCACATACTGTGTAATGAAATGGACACAAGGTTCAAAATTCACACGTTCTCTCACAGTTTCATGCATCTTTCAACTCTTACTACTCATTCACCACTTCAGATAGAATCTCCGTTCAAAGAATTAGGAAACTTCTTAACATTATTACATGTTTTCAACTTTCATATCCCTTTCATGCTTTTTAAATTATTCAACTTTGTTTGAGCCTTGGTCAGAAAGGCAGTAAATGAGAAACACATTGGTCTCTATGGGACGGAAACCTGAGCGGCTGGAGTGACGACATCATCAGTTAGAGGGCGACAGGCCGAAAACCCAGTTAACTTGTCTGTATAGCCACAGTTTTCACTCTACAGCCATGAGTTGCTCCTGGGTTGTAGACAAACCTGTCCTTAGCCAGACAGCGTGGCTTTCAAAGCAGTGAGACCTAGAGAGGATTCTGGGCGAGCCTGAGACAGGAGTTTTCTAGGAGGAAACTAAAATAAGTCGCCCTGTCATCCACGTTTTTAACACCACAAACACATGCGTTCAGCAGAATCTGCTCTCTCAAACAATTTAGGAGATAGGAGTAACTGCCTTTTCCTACTGACCAAGAGTTTGTGAGTTACAATTCAGCTAGATCCCAGTTTTATCCAGCTCGAGCAGACATGGCCAAGAGTTTGAGAGGCATAGTTCAGCTAGATCTCAGTTTGAGCCAGCTGGAACAAAGGGCTTAGTCTGACCATGCTAACATCTAACTGCTCGTACAGATGCTGTTATTGTTTAAAAATACCTCCTCATCTTTAACAGTGAACACTGAGCTCAAGGTTTTACTACACAGAGATATTTCAGCTCCTCTGTAAAGTAAATTTATTTAACTCTTTAGCCAACATCTTCCTTTCATGGCCCTCCTAAAGTTTTACATCCTTGTACTTTTTCTCACATTTTTAAATATTCAAATTCCATGACAAGCCCCTTCGTGCAAAGTTAAAACAGCACTGCACTATTCTGTTCCTACATTTAGCAGCAAGTCAGTTAAGCTTTTTTCCGCAGGCAGCAATCCCACTGCAGCTTCTTCAGAAATTGAATTTTCTAGTTTAGTTTACTGAAGTAAACTTTGCTCAAGAGGAGAAAACCACCTGACACAAGGGTTTTTGTGTTATACCACCCAAGCTAAACTGTTGTAATGTACTTCAGTACATTTATAATGTACATGTCACTATTTGTTACTGATTGTTAAAGTGCAGCTCCCTCATCCGGCCTCACAAAGCAGAAGATACACTCTGATATTTCCTGGGTTCATGATGGCGTCCCCTGGGATGCTGTCAGGTATCTGTCTGCATAGATGGAGCCCAGGGTGCAGCGTGGTCAGTGTTGTATCACAGACAGAGCCGCCAGCAGCTGCTGCACAGGCGCTGGGCACACCTTGTCCTGAACCTCAGCTCGTTGCCACAAAACAAACATTTGCCAACACCAGTGTACAGCTACATTAAACAGCATCTGAATGTAGCTACAAATGTGACTCGGGTGCTGTTAATGCCGGTAACAACATGCCCTCCACCTGCTGAGCTAACAGGAGTGTTTCTGATACGTCGAGGGGAAACACAGGCCCTCCAGCCTGCACGTTACACAGTGAGCTCTCAAACCGAATCTGTCAAAATAGACACTAGAGAGGTGTGACCTTCTTTTAAGTTTGATCATTTGTATTTATTTATTGGTAATGTGAGTGATGCCACGCCTCTATGAAGCCTGTGTGCCTCCAAGAGACAGTAACACCAAAAAGACTTGTACCCACAACCTGAAATTCCTGTTCAAGGCTCAGGAGCAAAAGATTCTTGGACTTCAGCTGAAAATAAAAATGTGCCGACAGCTTCGATGTTGCTGGCCTCATTCTGAACACGAGCACCTTGTATTAGCACAAACTGTGGATCCGTGTGGTGCAGCTGTTTACTGGGCAGAAACACACTGAGGTTAATCACAGTGTCACAGCAGAAGAAAACAGCTGCTGTGCCATGTGTGTGAACTGTGACGGCTCCTCTGTGTGGAGACACACACATTGATCCTGACTTAATACAGATTCGCAGTTCACATGTGTTTGGTCAGCGTGACACGGAGTCTGAGAGTGTCTGAGCCCCCGGTGCCGTGATGAGGCAGTCGGAGCTCAGCCGGGCTCCAGCTGCACATCCCCTTTGTCTTGTCTTTACTAATGAACAACTGTTAACAATACTTCAAAAACATGTGGGCATTACTTCAAAATGCCAACAGGAGGACTCGGTATGGCTTTAGTTGATATGTGTGAGTACTACAGTGTGTGTATCCTTTACTGTTTGGAAGCTCATATACATGCTTTGCACAGGTAACATGGGAATGTTTTAAAGTAAACCTTGTGCCTGAGTGTCGAACAATAGAGAAGCATATTGTTTTTTAATAATGTAATAAATAAACACTATAATACATAATGAGGCACCTGGGTCAGGTGATCCCAGCCCAGTCATGGTGCTGCTGGGGTAAACATCAGCTCCGTGTCCAGTTCAACGATACAATCAAAACCTTCAGTGTAATACACACAGCCCCAACTGTATGTGACTCAGTGCTGTGTCCCTTTGATCGCAGAGGCGTCCTGAATGCCAGTAAGCGAGCGGACCAGGTCGGCCACTTCCTGTGGGTTGGCTCCGACAGCTGGGGGGCCAAGCACAGCCCCGTCCACCAGCTGGAGGACGCTGCTGTAGGAGCCATCACCATCCTGCCAAAGAGAGCCACCATCAGCGGTGAGTTCAGCTAGACATCTTTTTAACGATGTGTGAAGCTGCCTGACTCTGCTCTTTGTCACTTACAGCACATATTCTCATCTCTGCACCTGCAGCTTGTACATGCTCATCCTGTTTACTGTTGAACAGCTCGGTCTTCAGTGAGAGTACCCGCTGTGTCCCTTTCCTCAGTTTCCTCAGACACAAAATAGCATAGGATGCTTTTGGATCTCATCTGGCCAGACATGGCCATGAATTGTGACTCTAATTAAACAACTAGATAATAACTAGAATAATGGGGAAGAGAGAGGGTGAGGCTGCGAGAACGTTTCCTGTGTTTGCTGCTACCTGTACAGTGCTACTTTAATTTCTTTGCAGAATGCATGTTGTCATGGTTCTTGTTCTCAAATATCATGAAAACAGTCATCAGTGATTGGTTGTCATCACAGTGTTGTTGAGGAGCTGAGCCCTGTCGGTTGTGTGTGTGTGTGTGGCTACAGTTGACCTGAGGACAGCAGCTCTGGTTGATGTGTGTTGTCTGCTGTATCGACGTGACCTCGCAGCACAGCCCTTTTTTTGTCTGTCCCACTTCCTGTTTTCTTCTTTCTCTTAGCTTCTGTTTGCTGTCACTGCCTGTAGTAAACAGTTGTGATCAGGTCAAACCTCAGCTGTACCTTCCTCACAGCTGGGAACACGCGGCTGTGGTTTTTACCAGTCTTCTGATCTCACTCTAGAAAGGATAATAATAACCACCTTTATTGGCCAAGTATGTCACACACAAGGAATTTGTTTCCAGTACAGAACCGATGGCAGCCATCTGCGGCGCCACCTCAACCGACGGCTCTAACCATTGGGGGTAATGGCGGGGGGCGGGTTCGGTGTCTTGCCCAAGGACACTTCGACACGTGGACTGCCGGCATCGAGATTCAAACCTTCAACCTTCTGGTTGGGAGACGACTGCTCTACCCACCGCACCACTGTTGCCTCCCCAAAGCAACTGATTCCTAACATGTGGCCCTTTTCCTTTAAGGGGCAGATGTTTTTCTTTCAGACAGTGGTGTAACAGAGTGCTGACAAGAGGAAACCTCACTGCCTTTAAGAGAAAACTGAGC